TATTCCATAATGGGTCAGGGGATACAGCTCAGCGGCATAAGCGCAAAGCCCTGAGTTCGATTCCCAGTACCAAAAAAAAAGGAAAGTCAGATATTCCATAATGTGTGTTTGATAAACTTTAATGCCACTGGAAAACACCCTCCCCTATACTTATTTTGAGTTCTGAAGTTTTTTTCTTCTTTTGTAAAAACAAATCATCACATTTTATTCTTTCTGAGACATAAATAATGCCGCATATCTCTGGAAAGAAAATGAAAATCACATTATTTACTATGTTTGCATTTCATGTGTGAAGGTACCATATTTTTCCTTGGCTATTTCATTTTCATGTCATTGGCAACCTCTTTGACTCTGTCTTTTCTCTCAGAGGAGTAATGTTTGGATTTGTATCACCAGGGAGGACCCACTGGGAGTGGGAGGAAATGAGATTCATTATGGAAACTGGATATACTCTTGCTGAAGGTCAATCTTAGTTTATTACTATGCTAGAAATATGAAAGACCGGCTGTTGAGAAGCACTGATTCCACAAATGAATTTTTCACTATTTTCTGCATCTTTCGTGTTGATAGCTAGATCAGTTTCACCTATCTTTGGTGAGAAGCACACATAAGGACTACACTTCATTCTGCTCCTGCAGTTGTTGCAGATGTTGCCTGAGCTCTCGGGAGATGAATTTAAGGTAGCATTTTCCGGCTGTTTCTGCAGTGCTGGGCACATGGCTCCTGGATCTGAAAGGCCACACCCACTTGCTTGATGTCACCATGGCAGGAGCATCTCAAACATCTGGCATGAAATGCTTGAGGGAGGTGGATGCAAACTGATAACCTGGCTGGATTGAGAGAAAACATTTTGGGGACTGAGGCTAAATGTGTGGGTTGCAGAAAGAAACACTACAATTCTGCTGTGGAATTAGAGTGGCTGAGTGAACACATGTACCCAATCTCATATGAGTCAGCAAAATAAACATACAAAGCCATAACAAATTCCGAAACTGCCTAAGTTGCTGGTGATGCCAATGACAGGGCAGGTAAATCTTCCGAGTCTGAAATACAGTAATACACAGAGGCAGCAGCCATGAGAGCCTTTTGTCTTGCTTCTGCACTCTGTATAAAGTTGTAAATTGACCCCTTCGGGCTAAATTTTTGGCAGTGGGCTGGTGTACTGTTTTTCTCTCTGCAAGACATCAGGAGAGATCACAGAGGAAGTCCAAAGCGAGGACAGCGGTGTTTATTAAAAGTGATAGTAACGGTTTGATGTGTCTGAAAATTAACACGAGTTTGGCTAAAAATGTCTGCCTGGACGCTTTATGGCTCCAAAGTAAATAATCCGCCCTTGACTTTTAGCAGCTGTTTAGAAATTCGTATCTTTCAGTTTAAATGCAAGGTAAAGGATTTTATGTAACTAAAGCACTTCAGTTACAAGAACTTTCTGGCTATTTTTCTGAAATGGGAAAACAGATCGGTTTTCACATATTATTCAGCTGTGCAAGGAGGCAAACAGATGTATTCATTAACACTCCCCACAGAGCATATTGTGTAACTCACAAGTGGAAAGTACTTGAGCTGAGGTTATACAAATGTTTTCTGTTATGAAACCTCCTTCCGCTGGGCCCTGATTTTTTTGAGACAAGGTCTCACTGTGCAGTTCGGGCTGGTCTTGGACCCACTACGGAGCCCAGGCTGGCCTCGAGCTCTCAGTGATCTCCCTGCCTCAGCCTTCCAAGTACTGGGATTATCAGCATGCCCTGGGCCATGATTTTCAAGGAGGCCCTCATTTGAAACTTCCTTGCAGTCACACTTCTTGTGAAAGGTGATTTTTCTAATTAATATGATGATTTACATTTTAACCTTACTTTAGAGAATAATTATTCCTTTTTTCCTGCCCCAAACTAGGGAAATATACCGGCTTAAAATTCAGTTTTCCAATTCAAAGTATTGGATACCTCCAGTGAAGAAGTGGTTTTTGCAGAGTTGAAGGAAATTCCAGGCAGGAATGAAATGTCATTGGTAGTAAAGCCAAAACAAAATACATCAGTGAAGAATCTCTGTTGTGTTTTAAACCTATAGGTCAACAATAATGATCAGCACAGAGACAGCATTTATTTGAGTTCTACCAGATCAGCTCTTCCTCATCAGCAACAACTTGATGAGGCTCAGAGTGGCCAGAGAAATCTGTGTAACTTAGGTCTAGGTTGGACAGGAAAAGGGGGAAATGAGTCACACAGCGTTCCTACAAGTATGTGTTTTGATGTCCCTGAGAGATCAATTCCAGGACCCCTCACAGATACCCAAATTCATGGATGCTCAAGACTCATATGAAATGGTGCAGTATTTGCATATAATCTGCACACATCTTCCCATGAAATCATCTCCAGTTAGTTTTAATATTGAATACAATGTAAAGGCTAGGTAAATAGTTGTTCTACTATATTGATTATGGGATAATGATGAGAAAAAAGGATTGTGTACATTCAATATAGAAGTAATTTTTTTTTCAAGTGTTTTCTATGCTGTCAAAGTGGAAGCCACGGATAGAAAAGAACAACTTATATTAGAAACGGTCACTGAAACATTGAAATGGGTTTTAGAGACACAGGGAAGAACTAGTTTTCTATGGCACTGACAAGGACCCTGACTTATGGCGGCTAGGAAGACATGGTTAGCTCCTAAAAAGTATCTGCAAGGTAACTTCACCCCACCAAGGAAGCGGAGAGAACAATCCCATGGGTCCACAGGACTGGAGTAATGGCAGGGTGAAATAGGGAATGGAAAAACAAAAGGAAATGTTGATTCTGGATCACAGAATAAACACTGAAAAATAAAATGGTTCCTGTGAAGCAAATTCTAAAATGAATTTTGCTTTTCAAATTTGGCCTTCGCAGCAAGAGTAAGGCTGCTGCCAAATTTGTCTGCTGGAAGTGTGTTGAAACACTTTCGTAACCTGTGTTTTGGTTGTTTTCTTCCTCTGTGGGACAAAACATCTCACACCCACAATTTAAAGGAGGAGAGGGTTATTCTGGCTCACAGTTTCAGAAGCGTCAGTCCATGGTCAGCTGGTTCCGACACAGAGACTGCACGGCGAAAGGCTGAGTGGAAGAAAGCTGCTCACACCACGGCAGCCAACAAGTAGAGAAAGAAAGTTGGAGAGGGAGATATACTCTTCCAGGTCATGCTCCAGTGATCTGCCTCTAGTCAGGCCCCACCTAACAGCACTCTCAACTGCTGAACATATTAGTGGATGAATTACTGACGACTCTAATATCCCCCAAATCCAATCACCTTCCCAAAGCCATGCCTCTGCATTTTCATGATAGTTTTTGGGGGCATCCTAAATCCAGAGATTTTTCTGAGAACTTTTTTCATATTCTACACTTTCAACAAATATTAATTAAATGTCTACTTTTTGCTGGTAAAAATGTACATGCAAAAGAAGGATATGTGACCCCTGTTTACCCATTTTCATGACAAAACTGACCCATAATACATTTAAATAAGAGTCACAAGATTTGGAGATTAAATGGGAGAGTAAAATTGCAAAAACAGTACAAACAAGAATGTTTTAATTTTTTAAGGCTGCCATAAAAGGGTATTACAATCTGATGGCTTCAACAACAGAAACCATTTCCTTATCATCTGAAGAACAGAGTCTGATATCAAAGTGTGGACAGGGTGGATTTCAGCTAGGCTTCCCTCTGTGATGTGTAGGTAGCCATATTCTTCCATGGTTTTCCCTCTGTGTGTATTTTAATCTCTTCTTACAAGAACACCAGATATTTTGGATTTAGAACCATTTCAATCACCGCACATTTTAATTATCCTCTTTAGAGACCTTTTCTCCAAATAGATACAGTCACATTCTGAGGTATTGGGTGTGGGCTAGGACTTCAGTGTGTGAATTTTGGGAAATATAACCCAGTCTGCAGCACACAACAACCCTACAAAGTGGATGACACAGGGTTTTATATTTTTTATTTTTCTAAGACAAGAAATAAAAAGACCATCTACAATATCATAATTTAATAAAAGACATGATTTCTTAACAGAAGAGGTAGTAAGTGTATAATCAAAGAATAAAGGAATGTCCTTTAAAAAATATATTTCACATTATAAGTACCTCACAAATTTGTTCTTATGCTTATAACCACAGAAATCTTGAAATCTTGATTAGTAACTAGTACTGATCTGTCAAAATAAAGGACAAACTAATTATTAAATGGTGCCCTAGGTAAAATTTTTTCCAGTATTTTCCAAACTTTATATATATATTGATGGAAACCTTGCAGGAGGTGAGTACCTAAATATATCCTGAGGCCTCTGTTTTCAAGGGTGGGAAAGGGAGGGGAATTTTTGACTAGGCCTATATTAGGAGGACACTGTGGAGGAGAGATTCCTAAAATGTTTAGAAGTCTCTGTGATGGGGGCTAGGGATTTAGCTCAGCAGCAAAG